CAGATCACTTTCCTGGAGTCCAAGAGGAATTAAGAATGGAAGTCCAGAGGGGACCTAGAATGTAAGGATGCCGACACCCAGCCTTGAAACTCTTTCCTCCCCACTGGTGCGGTTTGCTGTATATTTTGGGGTTTTTGTTTTTTCGGAGGGTTCTTTTGGAGACGGGGTCTCACTCTGTTGCCCAGGCTGGAATGCAGTGGTGCAATCTCAGCTCACTGCAACCTCTGCCTCCTGGGCTCAAGTAATCCTCCTGCCTCAGCCTCCCGAGCAGCTGGGACCACAGCACACACCACCATACCCGCTGATTTTTGTAGTTTTTGTGGAGACGGAGTTTCACCCTGTTGCCCAGGCTGGTCTCAAACTACTGAGCTCAAGTGATCCACCTGTCTCGGCCTCCCAAAGTGCTGGGATTACAAGCGTGAGCCACTGCACCTGGCTGTTTTCTGTATATTTGAAATACTGTATAAGAGGGTTTGATTAAACTGTGAGAAGACATTTAGATGTATTTGAGGACACAGAATCACTACAATTGAACTTGAGAGTCTGAAGTTACATTTTAAAAATTAACATAAAAATGTTATTCTCCCTATGGACTGTTACCTTTATCATGTGAGAGGGAAGCTGTGGTCCGATAAACCCTGGTGCAGCCTGTTTGTTGGTGACAACCCGCTGACTGATGACGGGGCGGGGAGAGGACTGGCCGGGGCTATGGGTGGGATGAGTAAGTTCACCTCCATTTTTCACATCATGAGACCTGGAGACAAGGAGAGTGATACTTAGGGTGACACAGGATACCTCCTTAGGAGAGATTCATTTATAAATTCAACAGCATTTAACCCCTCAAGCAGAAAACTGATGAAAAAAATAGCATGTTTATGCTACACCATATGGAGCTATACACATCCTCTCCTTCGGGCTAATGTCAGGCACTCAGATCAGGAGACAACAAGGATAACTGGGTAAATGAGGCTTTTTAAACTGTGTATTCTGAAGATGCTGTTTCATCTGAATGGTATTTCTTTTCTGTTTATTCATATTTTCCTTTTTTTGAGACAGGGTCTTGCTATGTTGCCCAGGCTGGACTGCAGTGGAACAGTTATCGCTCACTGCGGCCTTGCCCTCCTGCCTCAGCCTCCTGAGTAGCTGGGACCACAGACATGCACCACCACACCTGGCTAATTTTTTTATTTTCTGTAGAGATGGGGTCTTACTTTGTTGCCCAGGCTTATATTTTTCTAATTATAAATATATGCCACTGTAGAATATCTATAGTGTCCAAAAAAGTCAGAAACAAAATCCTACCCCTCATCTTGGCCTGAGGCCTCCTCTGATTGTCATCTGTGCTTCAGCCCAACTGCTGAAATCCAATGCCAGTGTTTAATATTTCAACATGCAGACATGAGCATTCTGCCAGTTAGACATTTGAGGATATTCTTAATTTTCAGCTATCAAACATTTTTTCCAAAAACGGAGTGAGTGAGTGAAAAGTATATGCAGCCACAACAGGACAGAGCTGGGCGCGGGCCCTGGCCTTGGCCTGGAAGGCAACTGATCTGTGCTCCAGGTTGGGAGGTGCTGGCTGTGACCACGCCAGGTGCTCAGAGGCCCCTTTCCGAGGTCTCCACTCACTGTCCTGTGGCTCCTGGTCCACTCCATTGCTGCCTGCAGCAGAAGCCCACCCTCCTCAGCTACCACCTCTCCCTGCAGCTGCACCTTCAGTGCTCACGGCCACAGAGTACGATGCGGAGCAAACTCATCATCCTGCTCAGACACTACCTTTCTTACTCTCCAAGCACATGGCAGAGTTGATGGTTTTTGTTTTTGTTTTTTTGAGAGAGAGTCTTGCTCTGTCACTCAGGCTGGAATGCAGTGGCTCAATCACGGCTTACTGCAGACTCAGCTTCCCCAGGCTCAAGTGATCCTCCCACCTCAACTTCCCGAGCAGATGAGACCACAGGCCCACACCACCACACCTGGCTAATTTTTTCATATTTTGTAAAGATGTGGCCTCACTATGTTGCCCAGGCTGGTCGGTCTTGAACTCCTGGGCTCAAGTGCTCCTTTTATCTCGGCCACCCAAAGTGCTAGGATTATAGGCATGAGGCGCCATGCCCAGGCTAGAAGTGATCTTTAAGCTGCTGGGTTTTGTTTTTTTTTAAAAAAAAAAACACACTGAATATTGAATTTAAATATGTTGATAAGACAAGAAAAAATAACATACCAGAAAATTTGGCAGTTTGTTTTCATGACAATACCTGATATAAAAGAGCACATAGGCTTGTTGGCTGAGTACCGATCTAATATCACTGGTAGATACAATGGAGTCATTCATTTGATACCAGAGGCCATTGCTAGCCTGTAAATGAGGGCCAATAAAAGATAGAGATTAGATTTAATTAAATGTGGAACACAGTCAAGAGCAATTTTTTTTTCTTTTTATTTTTTTTGAGACGGAGTCTCACTCTGTCACCTAGGCTGGTGTGTAGTGGCGTGACCTTGCAATCTCCCCCTCCTGGGTTCAAGCAATTCTCCTGCCTCAGCCTCTGGAGCAGCTGGGATTACTGGCAGGTGCCACCACACCCAGATAATTGTTTGTATTTTTAATAGAGGCGGGGTTTCACCATGTTGGCCAGGTTGGTCTCCAACTCCTGACCTCAAGTGATCCCCCAGCCTCAGTCTCCCAAAGTGCAGGGATTACAGGAGTAAGCCACTGCACCTGGTCAAGATAAATATTTTTACAATGGGTATTCACATTTTAACTGTAAAAGTTCCACCTCTCCCTACCTCAAGAATGCTACTGCTGTCTTACAGCATGTATGTAACAATAGTTAATAGCAAATGTGCACAGCTTACTTTTATGTAGCAGAAGTAATGGCCAGCATGGCAATTAAAACCAGTGTGGACCAGCACTGCATACAAGACGTAAACAATCGGCTCTCCGTTGGGTTGAGACATATATGGCCGAATATCAAGATACTCAGGATATTTCACATCCTAAACAGAAATGGAAAAAGGAGAAACATTTCTGAGGGCACACATCATTCCACATATTCAGGTAGAGGGTATTTAGAGCTCCCTAGGAGGGGAGACCCACAGAACACCTGAGTCCTGTGATGTTCTAGCAAAAACCTAATGCATTTTAAAAACCTAATGCATTTAGCCCCTTTTTTTTTTTTTTTTTTTTTCCTGAGATGGCGTGCCACTCTATCACCCAGGCTGGAGTGCAGAGGCATGATCTCGGCTCACTGGAAGCCCCACCTCCCGGGTTCAAGTGATTGTCCTGCCTCAGCCTCCCGAGTAGCTTGGATTACAGGTGCACTACCACGCCCAGCTAATTTTTGTATTTTTAGTAGAGACGGGGTTTCACCATCTTGGCCAGGCTGGTCTTGAACTCCCGACCTCGTGATCCACCTGCCTTGGCCTCCCAAAGTGCTAGAATTACAGGCGTGAGTCCCTGCGCCTGGGCTAGCCACCTTCGAAAGGGCATAGTTAACCGGGAGGATAGCTGAATCTAAGTGTATTTAAGGTAATCTTGCTGCATTTATTATTTTCTTTTAACAAGTCA